TTTACATGCTATAACAGTCTCTCGGGCCTTACGGCCCTCGCTTGAAAAATGACATCAGCATTTTGTTGAGACGCCTACGTTATTAGGCCCGAGAACTGTCGACAGTCTAGTTATTATACTACTCAATGGCTTACTGTATTTGGCAAACAGATTCTCTATTATGTATTGTTACAGAATGTTGTTCCAGAACTAGGAAACTAGACCAAATCCTAAGAATGTTCCATGTAGTGCACTGTTCACACATTACCAATGCTGACACCATAGCCAATACCAAGGATTTATAAAGTTAACAGTATGCAACTTGTATGTCTATGTACGGTGTTATGCAATAGATATCTTGCATTGATTAAATGCATTTCAAGCCAATAGCATCGCAGAACACTGTTGATGCTTTTTCAATAGAACTGAGCAAAATGCACATAATATAATAAGTAAAATCCGCTAAATTAAATCTATTGAATATGTAAAATAACAATATAACTCATCACTGATTAGACAGTTGTACATCTCTGATTACCGTTCTTAACACAGTAATCCTTTTTTAAGTGTCAATTGCTGCACTGGTATACTAGATGGAAACTTTTAAATAATTTACAGGATATTTAGGGAATAAACCACAATGCATTGCCCATTATAGCATAACAAGACAAAGATGAGGATGAGAAATAACGGGCAGTGTACGATATTATAATTTTATATATTTTTTTTTGTGTTGATGTTATTTGTGCCTTGTGAGGTAAAACATTTGTCAGTTGAAACATTTATTGAGCTGAACTAAATTACATTTAATGTTCAATAGAACACGTGTGTGGCTAATTTTGAAGGAATTTTGAGTCAAAATGAATCTCCCAAAATTAGCGAGTCGGCTTGTTGACTTGAGAAATAAATAAAAATAATATGACCCCAGTTTTTTTTCATTTATACACTTGTTTTTGGTTATACAATGCAAATTTCATTTTACTCAATTTACAAATTCCATGAACTATAGTAAGAAGTTTTTCATGATCACTATATCAATGTACAACTTCTGTTGCCAGAATTATGCGCCAGTAAATTAGCATAACTAGTTGAACTGTATGTTAGTGGTGCATTATATCATCTTGGCCTTTACACCACCAGCTCCCGCTTTTCTTCACAAATTCACAAAATAGTCCTGTTTATATTCTGCAGTTTCCTTAAGAAGATTGGGAAAAAATAGCAACATTTTTTTTCAGTAACAACTGAAAATTGACTCAAATTTTGTCTGTTGGCTCCAAAATTAGGATTCATTTCCAGAAATATTGAAGAATCACTTGATGATTAATATGCCACAAATAAAAGTGTTACGTAATCATTTATTCAAATGCATGACTTTTAACAGAGAAAATAAAGTGATGTTTGTAACTTATCAATCTATGTCAAATCCAAACTGTATCCTTAAACTGCACACTAGAATGTATCTACAGAATAAACATACATCTAATCGAACAATTAGAGTATTTAGTCTTCTTTTTCTTCCAATTCTTTTTTCAGTTTTTCCAAGTCTATCCTCTCAAACTTATCATATCCCATTATATGGTTATAATCATTAGGATTAGTAAACGCCATGGGATCAACTAACAGTGAGCGACCTTTTGCTTTGAAAGTTGTCAGTAAGTTTGTAATACCAGGAACTTCAACGTCATTGGGAGTGAAAGCCATGTATTTGTCACGCAAGATGAATGTTACAGTAACGGCAGTGTATGTGTCAGTCGCAGCATTGTAGTACATTCGTGTGACATAGGTCCTTGCTAAAGCATGTAATAAAACTGGCGTGATAAACACGGCTATTCCAAGAAGACTTGCAATGTATGTAAGGACATCATTACCAGCAACTTTTAAATACCATGGTAATATCGCGGCTGTCATCATACTGGTGGAAAGCGAAAAGAATTTAACTGCTTTGACGATGCCCGTTACTGGCCCGGTGTAGATCAAAGTGCCTTCAGGTGCTCCTTCAGTGCTTGTGGATGAATGTCTGGATAAATTCCTAAATTTTAGGTACGGTTGTGACTTGATAATGTGGTCTTCTGTTTTTGTATGAAGAGTCTGCAAAAACGAAAAACACTTTACTTTATTACACTGCAAATTGGAAGTATCATAGAAATTAAAAGAAAAGAATAAGTATACAGTATTTTTACTGTCATTTCTTTTCTCTCCCACTCTTTCATTCTTCCCCACCTCTCGATGGACTGAAAATTAAGAAACATGATTTGCATGAGCCTGGGTAGCAAAAATTGTGTTTCTAACAATACTGGTTTATTGATACCAGACACTGATCAACCACTAATTTTCGATACATTTGATGAGTTGAAGTGTTCCAGTGACTAGCAAAGACATACAATTTAAGTTTGAATAGAGATGACAAATTTAACATCAAATAATGTAAAAAATTGTATTGTATAAATTTTCTTTGGTCAGAATTACATTACAAACAAATCGCTCTTATCGCGCGACAGTCAACAACTAAGAACCAAGGAGAAAGATCAAACATTCTAAATTATTGATGTTTTGATAGCACCCTCTCGTGGCGATACCTCTGAATTCAGTTGACTTCTTATTATTCATATAATAAGTCCATTTTTCAAACTCCCATGTAACACAATTTGTTAAGAACTACTGTATGTGATATATATATATCTAAGCATTGCATTTGCCTAATGTAGTGAGTTTTGAAACCGAGTTGTTTTTACCCGGGTACAGTCACTTCGCCCGAACTCCTTCGCCTGATTACCAGTTTGCCCAATTACCGGTTCGCCTGTTTTCCTTTTCGTCCGATTTACCGATGTTACACAGTAGGCCTACTGGGGGTTTTGATTCGAAATGTACATCTGGTAAAATGCATTTTAGTCAGGGATTTCTTGCCGATGCAAACACTGCAACTGATGTCCGCCATTGCGGGTAGTCATCCCCATTCACAATAGAGGGGTGGCCGACAGGCAATGGGACAGGTATGCATCGGCCGTCATACACAGATTTTTTGTGTATGTCTTGTACAGTGTGTGTTTTTATATTGCTCGATTGTATTAGCACCTGGTGTGCTACTTTATTTTTATTCGAGGGTGAATAAATAAATGTAATGTAAATGTAAATTATGAATTATATCTCTTTACTTTCATTGCTCCCACCTTCCAGGAAACAAAAAGTTCATGCAATATTGGAAGTGAAACCACCATCAAACAAAAAGGTGTGACTGTCCCTCAACTCATTGTTTCCTCTCGATACACAAATGGTATGACCAACACAAGATGGCCGCAACGGCATAAAATTACGTTACAACCCCGTTGTAAACTTCACGTTCGTCACCTTATAAAAACAAATTTCGACTTCTACGTTATCTTGTTTTGACTACACGTAAATACCAAACATACAAGGAATCAGGCGAACTGGTAATTGGGCGAAATGGTAATCGGGCAAAACCATTCGAGCAAAGTGGTAATTGGGTGAAATGCCCCCAATTCATTTTTACCAGCGGGATCTGACTTTTGACGTATATGTATACCAAGGCGCTGCATGTGATTGTAAAGGGGAAATGCTTGTAATGCATGAACTGGAATATAATATATATACATGTATTTCACAATGTTTTATTGATATTTTATTTTGTGTTATAATTCTGATTTATTACAGTTTTACGTGAATTAGAATGAATAAAATGATTATTGGCAATCTACCTGTAAACGATATTGTTAATTTATACAATTCGCCACAGTCATTACTGACTATTTGTGTTCCAAGCATCGTTTTTGCTTCTAATTCCTAATCCTAACCCTGTCTCTCCAGTACCCTCCAATTCTAATTGTATATACCGGTACTCCTCTTTAGGACAAGTAGTTATCTGGGGGCGCATATACCATTGCATCCGGGTTTTAGGGTTAGGGTCGGGGGCTCCAATTCCGGCAAAAATAAAGTATTTTACGGTAATCAAACGCAAAGATCTACCGGGTTGTTTTACATGAGCACAAGTAATGAGTAAAATCGTATACCTTAAAAACAAGTACTAGTATATATACTTACTTTTGATTCTGGTATTATTACAGACGACATTGGGCGGACACCCAGCAAAGCACATGATGGACGTAAGACCGTGAACTCAAATCGACCGCTACAAGTGTAAAGCGCACGGCGACATCCGACCTGACAACATCTGAATACCGACATGATGATGCTTTTTGTCGTGAAAACTGCGTTGAGTTGTTTGTATAAATTTCCTCAAATTGCCAAATATCCAAAGCGAATACCAGGGCATCAGTTCATCGTGGAGGCAGACATTTTGTATAAACTGTTCGCTCGGCTCGACAGAGGGCGCACCAAAATACGAATTTGTTGATTTTCGGAAATGTCTCAGACAACTTATTAGTTGTCCGAGGTAATGTTTAATAGCCTAAGAACGAAACAACCCGTAAAAATAGATTAAACACATAAAAAAAAATCACATTTTGTGTTACAGATAGAATATGTACAAATAATGAAAAAGTGGAAAATGAAATCCATGTTATTTTAGACTGTGAGCGCTATAAAAAAGAACGAAAATTGCTGTTTATAGAATGTAACATAATAAATAAACAGGATAGAATAAAACAATTAAACATATGCAACAACAGTTTTTCCCTAGTTAAATACCTAAAACAAACAATCTACAAAAAGTAACGTTTTTGATGTTTGTAATTTTTTCTTTATCCTTGAGGGCGGAGCTACGTCACAGACGTTCCACGTTGCTAAGACGCGCACCACTGTACCATGCATTTCTATGGGCTCTGTGCGCGCTGCTGTGGAACACTGGTCGAGCCACAGGCGCTCGGAACGTTTCCTGGATAATAAAAAATGACCTAAAGTGGGATCGGCATAGTTAGTCAGTCGCCGGTAAATTCCCCTACTACTCATATAATATATATTGTTTATAATGCAAACAGGTGTGTATTAATAAAACACCTGATTCTGTACTACCTTGTAATTGCCTTTTAATTAATCTGTCATTTTAATTTTTTGATTATCCTTTTTACTTTTTTTTTATTTCACTTGACTATGTTCATCTTCTATAGAAAGAATAATGTCAATAAAGTTATCTTATCTTATCTTATCTTATAATAATTATATGAGTAGTAGGGGACCCTGTGGTCGAGCCGGTGAAAATTCGAGAAAACAACACAAACTCAACTATGAAGTAATCCCGAACAACCAAATTTATATATGTTACACACGTAGGGCTAATCTTGTTACACTGTTCAGAGGAGTCTCAACAATCATCCCAAAGTACCGTTTTCTGCGAGTTTTGGGCCTACCCGGACGTCCGCCCCCAAGGATTCCTATTGCAATGCAAAGGCGCCACGGTACTCACGCGCCACGTAGACATAGAACGCGCGTACACGATCCTCGTTCTAGGTTAAATTACGTGCACTTAACGATGGCTTCGTTTTAGTATTTAATTAAATCCCGTTGAACAGTTTGAAATTATACAAGAATCAATTTATTTACTGAAATTGTTGCATCGTTGCTTGGATATATGCGATTGAAGAGACGCATCATTACTCACCTTATCTATATCTCTAGGGTCTATGTAATTCCATTTTAATCTTGCTGTCCGCCTACAATACCAATATTAGCCTTGGAATGTGGAATGTTTTTGTAATTGGTTATATTTCATTTTGATCACATGAAATCAACGTTGAAATTCATCATAAATATTTCAAGACACTGCTATATAATAGGTGACTTTCCGTTCACTGTGAGAGCTCTCGTGGTGCGTGCAAGGCGTGGATCGAACGTCTGCCGCAAAAATCGAAATCTTTATTTTTGAATTTCTTTTTTACAGCTCAATGTCTAGATTCATAAGGGAATGTGTATATCATATTATCAAGTGTTGAAATGATTTCGCGTGTCAAATCCCTTGCGATGTTTTGACGTTATGCTCTTTTTTTCTTCTGTATTTAAGTTCAGTTTCACGCATAACGCGGAATCTCGCAGTGAACGGAAAATGTTGAATCTCTCTCTGTTTGTCCAATGAGATAACTGACAATCATGTGGAATATCCAGTTCGATACATTACTCTATGTTTCATTTCTTGTTCCGATAGTTCTATTACGACACATTTTTTTCACAAATGTCAATCGTTTTCAATACATTTGTACTTGTCTAGAAATTGACAAATTATTCAAGTTGGTAGCAGTGACAATGACGTTATTCTATCAATAATCTCCATTAAAACTTGCCTTAATATTTAAATTCTTTGAAAAATCCAACCGTGATTCTGAAACCAACTCAAGCAATTGTACCTGAATAAAGCGTTTGAGTATACGTGCCTGTGTTGTAGACTTTAATATAAAAATGAAATAAAAAAAAATGCAGATTTCAACCGCTCATTGACAGGGAGCGAGAACTCGCGATGACACACTTGTTTTTTAGTAGAAAAAAAACGCGCCTCAACAGAAAATAGCTAATTACTGGAATGTTTGTTAAGTATTAATCGTTTTTTCCTCTTTATCATCTGCTGAATCAGTAGTGTACTGACCTAGTTTTCCATGCATTGCATTATGGGTAATGTGAAAACCGAACCGGAAAGGAGGTGTTGCCATTTTAAAAAAAGATCGGTGATGTGATTAACCTATTTGAACAACCCACATAGTCCGACATATCTTTTCGCTACAAACCTCACTCATGGGTCGCTATAGAAACAAGTATTAGAATTATAAGTCCTTGATATTTCTGTATATTATTAAAATATTGTTACGTAACGAATACAGAGTGAATATAATCAATAATCATAACACAAAACTAACTGCTAAGTATTTTAAAAGATAAAGTAAACCGTTAATCATCGTTTTCAAGCCGTCAAAAAGCTGTAAATTTGGCCTTTTGTGAATCAGATCTGTAATTGAATTTCCATTATCTCTTCTATCATCGCCCAGAATACAATACATCACAGCTGTATGCAATTGATCTAAAATTCTGGGGAATAAAAAAAGTGTACTTGATAATCTTAAAATGTACATGTTTGCCGGCAAGTGGGAGCCGCGCTGAACACAGCTGCGGAAAATGAAGCGTTGCCTTTTTAGTGTTCCAGTATAGGATATACCGGTACATACACAGTTCACTAAAGGGGACAGAATAGTATGGCCTTTTCGTGTACACGGGATCTTACAACTTGGGGCATCTAAATCATTCGCCCAGTCAGAGTTGGTGTAACATTTGACAACTGGTCATATGAACACAATGTAAAATACTGGAAAAATATAACACATTCGGTCAAACTATTTATCACTTTATCGCGCATTTGACGTAGGCACCGCACTACAGCTTCCGTGCGTCCGTTCATTTGACGCAGGCAACGCACTACAGCTTCCATGCGTCTGTTCATTTGATGCAGGCACCGCGCTACAGCTTCCATGCGTCCGTTCATTTGACGCAGGCGCCGCGCTCCAGCTTCTGAGTCCGTGCGTCCGTTGATTTGACGCAGGCGCCGCGCTCCAGCTTCTGAGTCCGTGCGTCCGTTCAGTTGACATAGGCACCGCGCTCCAGCTTCTGAGTTCATGCGTCTGTTCATTTGACGCAGGCACCGCACTGCAACTTCTGAGTCCACGCGTCCGTTCATTTGACACAGGCGCCGTCTCTGCAAAATATTGAAATCATTTTGACCATACTGTTTCGAACACCAAACTTTGAAACAGCAACATTGACAGCTGGGTTGCTGATTGGTTTTCTATGCGCGTCTGGAGATCGTTACACGATTAGAACAACCAGCCTCAGAACAGAAGGCGTAAGACTAATAATGGGAAACTCGGGTAAATTAAAGGGGCTATTGTCTTTCCATTAATTTTATTCAATCATATCAATTTCTTCATAATAAAAAGCATAGTTATGCAGACCAAGTGTATGTACTGACATACTCTGAATGTCAGGACATAGTCGACGGTGTTTCTGGTGCTTGCCATATCGCTTGCAAATACGCGCATTTGGCCTAACGGCGCACCCTCGTAAAAATGGTTTGAACTAACCAGTTCTAACCACGTAACGACCTCGAGAAACGCGCATTGCAAACTAGTTAGCTGGCAATGTTGTTTTTTAGTGTTCGGAATATTATGGCGGTAATTCTTATCATTTTTTTACTCTTCAAGTCTTATCAGTTCACACCCCAGAGACCTATCGTAAATCAATTGCTATGTTTTTAAACGTGCGATGGTTGAAAAATCTACGGCTGATCTGCACTGGCTCGGAAGATTAATTCTGATTGGCTAAAAAAACAAAAAAACTTGTGACGTTGAATGCACGTTCATTGTCAGTATTGTTATGCAAATTCAAACTAGCTAATCATTTACAACCTTCCGAGCCAGTGCAGATTAGCCCAAAATCTATGTCAATATTACCGAAGACAGAACTGCTTGCATCGTGCACACGAATATTTAAATACTGTGCATTTCACAGATTTCGCAGTCGTGTGTTTTTAACTATAGTAAAAAATAAGGAAACAAATTAATAGGTTGAATTGATCTAATTATTTACATTTTCAGCCCTCAAGTAAACGCTTTTAAAATATATGTTGTATAATTATGTCTTTTGTTCGTGATGCTGCTAAAACGAGCAATTTGATTGGACAATGCATTGAAAAAAATATATCTATTGCCAAAGAGGGCGCACTTAAATATGCGTTTGCTATACAGAATCTGCCATGATGTAGTGCTATAGACGAATCCGAGAAGCAGATGAATTACCCCTTCGCCGTAGGCGGCGCGCTCACGACCGCCATTACCGGGGGGCAACGTGTATCGATAATCGAGTGGAAATCTTTCGTCAGTGTAATATTGTTTTGATCAAAATTTTATACCATAATTTTAACTAGTGTTATAGTTTCAATGTTTTTATGATCATGGGAGGGTCAGAAAAAAACTGCAAGTTTCTAGGATGCACGAACAACGATAAAAAAACTTTAAGAAAATGGAAACAAACTACGTGCGAAATCCATTCACCAAAGACACACGAGTGCGAATGTAGGCAACCCCCGGGAGGGGAGTACTTGCAAAAATACTGACAGGGGTGTGTTGTTTGAAACGCCTACCCCTTATCAGACAAAAATAAACTCAAATTGCCTACCCCTTTTCAGACAAACTGGATATTTGACACCCCTTTCCAGACGGTACGCATAAATGGTAAAAAGCGAATCAGAGGATCGATATCAGTTTCAGGTTTATTTATTCCGGGAAATGGGCGTGGGTGGTCAGCTATTTTTATTTATCTAGATGGACTCCCGGGAACATAATTTGACGACCGAATTGAAGTTACAGAAAGAAAAAATCAGCTCAATTTTCCTGATTGTTGGATCACTCAAGGTCTAGAGAGAGTCTTTGGAAAATGTAGTCCTCTTTTCAGACTGAAATAATGACAAAAAGATACAGACGGGGTAAAATAACATACCTCTTTTTAGACAGAAGTGGTGAAGTTGGGACCCCTTTTGGCGGCACATATACATATAGCACTCCCCGGGAGGCAACCTTACCAAACGGGGAAAAAAAACCAGTCTGCTTCTGATGAAATGGAAGCAGATTATACAAAAGAAATACTTCTTTCCAAGGAATGATAGTCGGGTAAGTCAAAATAGAACGATTTATAGCAGTAAAACGAATGTTTAGTAATGCAAACTTCGTCGCATCTAGTGATACAAATGAAAAGTTCCCGTCTCACAAAAATGTAAACAAAGCCAATTTCGCCGATCCACATCGTTTGTGTTTGTCATGCATACGAGATGCCAACAATTTTGACTATGTTGCCTAGTGTTCGATCCATCCATCAAACCGCAAGACCACGTAAAAGTTAGATAACATTGAACGAATAACTTTAATTGACCAAAGGGGAAAAGGGATTAAATACATCTGTTTACAATCTAGGATTTTCTGTC